AATGAGCACCGACAAATTTTCCACTTTCAGCAGATGAATGTGAAAATATCCTTCTAGTATCAAACCCTGCAAACATATCATTCTGACTTCAAATACAAGCAAGCACGAACAAAGGTTAGGAAAACTATACTTAAAGCCAAAAGGCAAAGTTGGTCAGGAGCATGAGAGGATTTAGGGAAAGGCAGTACCCAGCACTGAAGATGGGGGAGGAAGCAGCAGTGTCTGATGAAGAGTAAGCAGAGATGATAGCAAAGGGACCATAGTTGTGAAACTTGAGTGAGGAGGACAAGAGAGGAAGAGTAACGACCAGTTCATTTCGACCTGGAATTCCTGAGAGAAGAGACGATTACAATACATTGGAAGAAATGAAGAGGGCAATTGTCAGATTGGGACTAACATCTCCTGGGAAGGATGAAATCTGTTATCACCTCAGTGGATTTAGGAGGGCTAGAGGAACATGGACCCTGTTATGTGTCTGGAAACAGAGATTCAGAAAGTTAAAAAAGAATCTGTAATTTTTTTGCATAAAAAAGGTGTATGATATTGTTTTGAAATAGGGATTGATGATCAGATTAGCAGGTAGAACATGTAACTCAGCCTTATTTATCAGTGTTACGAGGAGGGACTCAGGAGGAGGGGACAGGGGTCTCCTTCTGTGGCCTCCATAGGACCCTGTAAAAATGGCCAGGTGAGTAACCTCAAAAGGTGACAGCTGGACGCCCAGCTCAGAACAGTAAGGCTGCAGGCTCACTAACCCAAGCATGACTGGAGTGCCAGCTGGTTGCTATCATACTAGGAAGTAAAATAAACAAAAGTCTTTAGTCTATGGATAAGATTAATACTAAGTGTAAAAGGATATTGAATGTGATGAGATGTTTAACAGGGTCATTGCTTATAGTTCAGCACCAATAACCTCATTAAAGAAGTTGGAGGTGGTGCAAGCTCAAGTTTTTACATCAACCATCATCAACATGTCTGAGTGACAAAAAGACTTTAACGCTACTATAAAGGTAGTGATAGCTGCCGTACATTAAGGAAAACAAATGGGCATCTTGAAAAAGTAAAGACCATTGGAATTTACATTGATCCATTTGATTTACTGGACACAGCACTACACAGTACTGTATGTACTGATTCCCTGCTTGAGACCAGGAAAGTAACATTACACTGAACACATCTGTGCACATCAAACTTTAACCATTTTTGCGTTTTTTCGTAATGTATTTTTCCAATTGGATGGATGGCAGATGTTGAACCTTTTTGCCCATAGACTGTGAGGTATTCCTCACATTATGCCTTCACTTTTATATTAGCTCACTCACTCTTGAGTTTAAAATCTGTATTTGTACCTCAGGGAACCAATGCTGAATAGTCAAATGAATTAAATGTGAGGCTTATGGGATTTGTGGATGCTTTTGTATTTGTCAAGTTTGCAAACATCCCATGTGTGGTGACAGTGATTGTATAAAAATGAAGGAGGGAGGAAAATGAAGAAAATTAATCATAACTGGCAGTGAATTGCATCTAATTCTCAAGTGGCACAAAGCTTTGCAGCTTTTGTCTGTTGGCTGTACACCCTGGCCTCAGCGTGTTTTAGAGTGGTCAGAGACATTACACAGACCAGAGGTCCTCCAGAGCTTCATAACAAATGATACGGCTATATATCCTGAGGAGGCTGGGTTCCTTCAACATCTGCAGGGAGCAACTGCTCTGTCAGTCAGTCGTCACCTGCTGTATTGTGCTGGGGGAGGCAGCATTACACACGCGATGTGGCTGAACAGGCTGGTGAGGAGAGCTGGCTCTGTTGTAGGCATGGAACTGGATTCCCTTATGTCAGTAGCAGAGACAAAGACCCTAAAGGAACTGTTGTCCATCATAGCCAATGTCTGCCACCCTCTGCACAGCACATTCACCGTCTCAACAAAATTCAAAGAAGGCAGGGTGAAATTGATTGAATAATCATCCGTCATTAAACTGCTGGACTGTTACTGGCTGTGTTAGCTTTTTAACTTTTTCTGAGTTTCATGGCCATTAAGAAAAATAATGGAAGATCACAGTAATTGATAATAAAAATAATTGTTAGGCGAAGCCCTAGTTTAAAGGCAAAGTTACTTGCAGTGAGTTAATGATACAATATCAAAAGTCTGGCTGAAATGTTAGCACATTATCTTCCCATGATGCCTTCCCTTCAGTGATTAAATTTATGATGTACAACAATTACCCTGCCGGTTCATCAGCAATAATCATTGAGAATCAGCTGAATCACCCTGACAACCATGTGCTCTAATTGTCTAATGGTTATAAATTAGTCACTAATTCAGTAAATCACATTGTAATGGCAGCAGAAAATGCACATGGTTTAACTTTACATTTTCAACTCTGACTTACATTTGTGGGCCTTAATTGTTCCTTGCCACAGCATGGGGTAGACTTCATGCAGGAAGCAAGCATTTTATACCCTTGCTGGAGGGAAGGAAAACTGCCTTCTCTGCTTGCTTCACAAAAATTGGAACCAAATTCCACTTTCACGCAGCCAACTCAAATCTGGGTGTTCTGGGGGTCCCCCCCCGATTTGATGGTAGACAACATCCAGAAGTAAACAACATGTTACATTGAATCAAATGCAGTCCCTGTGATCTGACTTATTCGTGCTCCTTCAAGTCCTTTTCATCCCTTCATAGAGTTGAGTGTTGAGTTTGGATACATCATTTTTACAAGAATTCTAGGTTTGTTAACTGTTGATCTTATTCATTTTCATTCAATTTCATTCAATCTTTATTTTCCTCAAATACAGACAACCGATCAAAGGGAAAGGACAGAATAATACAATACAATAATACATCAGTCACATCCAGCCGGAATCTTCCTGATCCAGCTGAGGGATGTTTTATATTTTATGGTTGTTTCTCACTTTCAGTTTGTTCTTTGAGTACGTGCAGCAGACAGTGATTACGGTGACCAGGTGTACCACTTTATGTGGGACGGCACAGCATTTTTATGTCCCTCGTTTTGTTGTGCTCTAGTTTTAAAAAGTCAAATCACTGCAGGACATGCTTTTTAGAGTCTGGTTTTTATCCAGTGGCGATGAAAAAAGCCAGGAGGGCTGTCATCACAGGGCTGCGTTTTATGTCAGTTAAACTACACACACTTGGGTCAAGTGCAGGTTAACACGTCCTGTCTTTTGGTACACTACGCCCGAAGGAGAACATTGCGAGTCACAATATAGTCACATGCAGATTTAGGCAGAATATGATGAAAACTACGACAAAGAAAAGAAAACTACTCATAACTGGTCACAGACTATTAATAAGGCAATAAAGAACTGTGAAACATTGGCTTCCTTTCATGCTTACTGTGTTTTTTACTTGCCGTGGGAGTTGCATGCATTGTCTGTTGTGTGCTCCTGAATCAGCCACAGGGCAAAGCTTAGTGAAGTTACAAACTAAGGGGCAGAATAGAAATGTTTATTTGCAGTTTAGATAGACATATCAAGACTTTAAACTACCTCTCAGCATTTGTAACATGTTCTATATTGTCCCACACAAACATACTCTTTGACCCACATTTGGTTTCTAGGAATCTGGTCACCCTACAAATGATACGTACCTGTACAAATCAATATCAACATCAATATAATAACTGCCTTCTCTAATTACGATAATTGTAATTCTGTTATTGGTGCACCCTGATTCGAAGAAAAGGAAAAAAACAGCCTCACTGGTAATTGCTCTATTATAAATCAAAGGTAATTACAGACAGAGAACAGAAGCACGGAGGACAGAGCAGCAGTCACTATGACAGCACAGATGTTTGTTCCTAAACAAACACTTGCTTGACTCAGACTACAAGAACAGTGATGTTTAATATTCCACTAACTCACATGTAACTGATAATAAATAGCAGCATATAGTATATCACCAATAGGAGAATGTATTTGGCATAAATAAAAACTCAAAAGCACATCCACAAACATACACGCTCAAGCAAAGACTTGTATTGTAACTATGATAGGTTGTAAAAAGAAAAGTTGAGATCTCAGTCCTAATTACATGTTGTGCTGCTTTTAAAACAGGGGCAGGGCATTCCAAAGAAAAGAACAAAATGGTACACAAACGCTCTCTGCTAAGATGATTGATTTATTCAGTTCGACAATAACCACAGACCTCTGATTAGGGAAATTGAGAGGGCGTGCAGACAGATATGGTAGGAACTAATAAATTCATGTAGGTATAATGGTATCAATCCAGACATTGCTGGTAACAAGAGGAGTGAATAAGTAAAATAAATAAAACAATTGTTTATATATGTCTCAGATTCTATATGTTTGGATATAGTGTGAAAGATGAGAATCTGCATGACTATTTACTGCAGTTTTACCTTGACTACTACTTTCACCTCTGACATACAGTGACCCTTCCTGCCTTAAAGGACCAGTGTGTAGGATTTAGTGCCATCTATCAGTGCAACTGGAGTTTACAACTTTGTCGCTTCCTCTTCAACTTCCAAGTGCAAAGAAGAAACTACAATAACTGCAAAACCCTCAAAATTACAGTCCCTATTTAGAGGCAGTGTTTGGTTTGTCCCTTCTGGGCTTCTGTAGAAACATGGAAGTTCAACATGGCGGACTCCTTGGAAGGTGACCTGCGGTGTCTGTAGATAACAGCGGCTTGTTCTAAGGTAACGTAAACTTAAAGATTCCTATATATTCAGGTGATTATAAACTAATGTAAACATACCTATGAATGTTACTTTCCATTTCTACTGGACCTATAAAACAGGTTACATGGTATTTACATAAATTAATAGTTTGATATGGACAACAACCCATTGTGGAAGAGGGTTATATGCTGGACTGTCTTGCCAGAGTGCGGTCTGTCGTCTCGGTGAGGTTGCGAGACTGCCTCACCCACAGAGACTCGAGAAAGTTAGTGCCAGTTTTTAGCTTCAGTATTTGCATGGATTAAACCAACCTGATATATAATGTTAATTAGTGAGCTTCCTTGATGCTGGTAGATAGATTTTATTATCTTTGGATGTGCATATTTCCCAATAATGGCAAACAATTTATTTAATATGTACACATATTACTTATACTTAGTAGACCCACAGTTATGAATGTTAACAACATTGTAACATAGTTTCTGTAACACCAGAGTATTACTGTAATACTGAACTGCTAATTTGCAGTTGCTGCTAACATTTCTCAACCTTGCCAGGCAGGGGACACGTGAGAATCCATTTTGCAAGACTTCAATCTATGCATTTGTGGCCGGCAGAGTGGTATCAGACCAATTAGTTTCTTTTGAGGAAGTTCTAGCAGCTATGGAGGTAGGCACTAGATGTGACGCAGCGAGAACACACTGTTCGTTTAACAATCATCTGCCACAATCAGGTTAAACATTTCCTGTAGGGTATTAAAACAGCTTTTTAATATATATATATATATATATATATATATATATATATATATATACATACATATTAACAATAAATACTTTGAATGCTATTATTCATACCATTAGCTTGCGCATTACTGTCATGCAGTGTGTTTACCTTACTATGGGGTTTGTGCCTGTGCTCATAACTTAGCACTTAATAAGGCTGCAGTGATTGTGTCAAACACACATTACTATTCTCAAAGAGGACACAAGACTGCAGGTAAAAAAACTGAAGAGCCCAAGTAGTATGAATTCATTTGCAAGAGGTTAGTAACATAAAAAAAAACATAGTTACAAAACCTGTATGTGTAATCACACTGGTGCTGAAACACTGCGAGATGCAACAATGTCAGCAGTATCAAAATGAGAACAAATAATGATAATGATAATACTGATAATATACAGCAACTGTTGTTCAAAGGAATTCACATAAGAATTAAAACATTTAGGATTATTTAAGCTTAAGTGTATTGTGGATAGGTTTTCCACGCAGCTGCCTTTTACAAGAGGTAGCCTATATTTAAACTCCTTCAAATGTGTCTTGAGAGGCTGATTTTGTAAGATGATGCATATTTCCCATCCATATGGTGCATCAACCTGTGTGTTGGATAAACTTCTATAATAAAATTGTGGCAGCGTGGGTAATAGGTGGGTAATAATCTATGTTCAAAGCATAGACTGTACATAAAGATGGACAAGTCTTCTTCCCACTTTGCAAAAATAAAGCCAAAATATCAGGTCAATGTCATTTAGAGCCAGAGCCTACGCAGTAGTGGAACTGCGGTATCGAGGGCCCCTCTCCATAAAAAGCTTGTAGCTGCAGTTTGAAACAGACAACCACGGTAATGGAAAGTTAAAGTTACATCTCCTCTCAACATTTCTACTCTACATACAATTCCTACAAAAACAAGAAGAGGTGCGTCAATAACTACTTCACTCGGAGTCAATCATGATGTCACACCCCATTTTTATAGCATCAAACAAATAATTAAAACCAAACTTATCAGAAAAATTAACACTTGAACATACATCAGCATGACAACTATATAAAATAACAGAAACCATCTTTTGGAAAATGTATCTGACATGTAGTTTTTTTTAGTTTGGCTCATGTCCCATCCACTAACACAGAGCGGGCAGAGTTTATGACCTATACTTCAGTCAGCCACCAGAGGGCGAATGAGATGTTTTGGCTTCACTTTTGGAGAGCTGTCATGTTGTCCATCTTTATATACAGTCTATGGTTCATAGACCTGTAGTGAGAGTTTATTTTGTGTTTCGGCTTTGGTGCACTGGTGTTCTTTAAGTTTTCTTCTCATAAAACGAGTTTGTTCTCCGGCAGAAGCAGATGGCATTGAAGAAGCGGCAGTGGCATGAGGCACATGGGTCACAACAGCCAGACTGAGGCAAACAGCTTTGTGTGAGCTCAGAGCAGTTGAACTTCGTAGGTTTGGGCGCCACTTTAGAGGGAGTGGGAAGATCTTTTGGAGGAACAGGGACCACTTTGGGCTTCTGGAAGATCGAGAGAACAGAAAGATGGGGACATGGAATGTGTGGGAGCATCAAAATCAAATGATCAAGTAATATTGCCTCACCTTCTTCTCTTGATGTCTAAAATTAGCTGCTTTGGTTGTTGAAAGCTAAACCTTTCTGAATAAATTATCAGTTCCAAAAAGGCTCAGAGATAAAACACCAACACAAGGGCACAGTACTTATTGTGAAGCTGTTTTTTACTTTGTGCACATGAACAACTACATCCCAAAGCTGTGAAACCAAGAATGAGCGATGTATAGAAATCACAATAACAAACTTTTACAGATAATTAAATTATATATTGCTATGCAGAAATGCTTCCTGTTAACTAGAAAAGTCACTGCTCAATGTGACTAGACTATAAACCACACACATCTTACCGGCACATGAATCCTTTGTCGTTCATACTGTCCTCGCCTCGCAAACAGTGGTCTCTGTCTGCCTTGGTTCAAAGACCCTGTTGAGACAACATCAAGACTATGGATAAGAAATAATGCTCCAGAACATCTCTGCCAGGGATTGCTTTGTGTCCAGTTTAAGATCACCAGTTTGTGCCTCTCAAGTATTCCTGTTTCTGTACATTTGAGTCACAGAGCTAAGCATCAGGTTTTTGGTTTTTTTTGTGCAGCGGAGAGAAGATTTTGTCATCCAGAGGGTTTTATGACAGCAGTAGGTGTTGTTTCAGTAACTTTTTTTTTCAAACAGTTATTCAAATAAGAAATATTATTCGGAAAAAATGTTGCTGAGCTTTGTGCTTGAGTACAGTGTCAGAAGAAATATTTAGGTGCTTTACTTTACTACAGTAAAAGTAGTTAAATCTCTGTGTAAAAATACTCTGTTACAAGTGAAAGTCCTGCATTGAAAATACTACTTAAGTAAAAGTACATATCAGTGAATTATCAGAATTATCAGAAGACTGTACTTAAGTATCAAAAGTAAAAAAGGATTCATTATTACCATAAAACTTTTTAAAAGTAGGCTCCCAATTAAACACAAGTCCCCTTAACTAGCCTGGTGTGGCTACATGTTTTGACAAATAAATGCAGGTCTCAGTTAGACGACTGGTCTGGATTTTATAGAAATTCTGTGGATGTATAAATCCTTACCCACTTGAGCGACTTCTAAGCAGCTTAGATCGCCTACACAAATATACATTTTAAAATTTTTTGTCAATATGGACATGCTGCAACGAGTGGTCCTACTGATAAGAATGTGATGTAGCCCAATTCAAATATTTCAATAATTTTTTTCTGAATAGGCTTAATTACTATGATGTGTTCTGTAACACTGTTATAACTTACATAACAATATATTTGAACAAGGAGCATTAAGTTCCTTGTTTTAATGTTGAAGCATTCCCTGACAGTCAGCTTTAGACTGGTCATTGCAAGGTGTAGTAATAGAGTATATATAGACTATGCCAGTCTTGCTACTGTTCATTTTATGAAAGCCTTTAAGATCAATTACTTGAAGAGTATAAATGCTGTCAAGTTGAGTCCAAATACCATTTGAATAAAATTACCCCCTTTTATAGTATTTTAAGTATATAAGTGGTATTAACATGATTCATGATGACTGAAATATGTTTCTGTTTATCACTGTGAAACTGGTATTTAATTCAAAAAGTTGTAGGATACAAATAGCTCCGCTGGCATCTAAGAACAGAAATGGTAGTAAGCATATGCCTAATCTGTAATTACGATTATGAAGGGGTGCTGCTACTGTAAGTAGTCCCTGTCCCTACAAAGAAAGTAAAGCCCAGCCGATATATCAATATTGATATATTGCAGATATGAATTTACCAGTATATAATGCAGAAAAAAATGCTTGTGGTAATATATTTGTGTCACTACGAAGTTTATCCAGCAGAGTGTGCTGTCATTTACAATGCTGTGACAAGCAACACAGAATAAGAGAGAAGAAGCAGCTCTCAGCAGTATCAACAAGAATCGGTTAACAATGCGTGTATTCAATTATTTAACATAGTAAATCATATTTAACTTCAATATTCTTTAATGAAGTTATTTTTTGAAGAAAGCAGTCTTTTGAGTACCTTTGCATAGCAATATTAATATAATGTACTTTATCTGTATTTGTACTTTAAATCGGTATTGGTCTCCAAATCCAATATTGGTTGCGCTTTAACAAAAAGTTTATATATGACTGCACTGTATATCTGAACGCTTGTCTCAAACACACCACATTGTATGTAGTATATATTATATTATATTATATTATGTGTCAGTGTCTAAAATCAATTAATTAATTAATAGTTTGATGCTACACAAACACACACAGAGCAGAGAAACTGGATAAGGTTTGGGCTTTGGTTGCATTTACACAAAATGTGCCGCTGTAGTTTCTCCCTTGCACTCGGAACGGGAGGGTGAACCGGCAGAGTTGCGTCCTTCAATTACACCGCGAGATGCCACTAAATCCTTCACAGTGGACCTTTAAAGGCTCATTTAATCAAAAGAATCACTGATGAGGATTTTTTAGGGTGATAATGTCATAACAAATGACAATATATATTTGAAGCTCAATAGAAGCTTTGAATGTAAAAAAAAATGACGGATGGTACAGTCAGTGGCGGACTGGGGTTGGCTATTGTGAGGGGCCGGGGCGAGAAAAAAAAAAAAGACACCATCTATGTGTTCGGGCAGCAGCAGGGGATGATGCTTTTAAACAGATTAATCAGGGTTAGGGTTAGCACCGTAAAGAGCACTTCACTACGATTTGTCGACCTTTATTGTGTTTTATCTAACATAGGAGCATCTATGAGGGCACTTTTGCGGCGCTTTTTCAAGAATGAAGCAAGTAAATTAAATTTTTGATCAAGCCAAACACTGCCATTGTCACAGACAAACAAAGTATGATTTCAGTACACATCCACGTTCCTGGGAGACGCACCTCTCCTCTAGCACACTCCAAGAAATTCTTTAGGAAATCTTCTAGTTCCTGCCACTACTTGCCAGCTGCATCTCATCCTCCCATGACTCTCTGTATACATATATAGACTACTGTACTGTTAATCTGATTCGAAGTGTATAGAAAACAGTAGTTTTGGCATGCAACATATATGGGGATTCCACACTAACAGGCTAAAGACAAGATATGAATGTGCCTCTTATCTGGCTTCACCATTAAATCCTAAATTACTGCATACACATTAATGCCCGGTGGATAAATGTCAGTAACAGAGTTTAACTACCACATGAAGACATTAAAACCAGATTTAGACAGGAAGAAAAGGTAACATCAGTTTGCCGCCATGATGATGTATGCTGGTCTGTGTGATACCATCTGTGCTGTGCTATGTGGAGCAGAGGGCCTCCTGCTACCAGATCATGTTGTACCAATCAAACACGCAACCTGCCTGATATTTTAGGGTTTCCCTTTAAACCCTTTAAATGGAAAAAATAAATAAATTGCACCACTTTGATTACTCTGACTGTAATCCTATAAGCACATACTCCTGCAGCTAACAGTAAGAGTTATAACTTTGCTAAAATTATGCCGTCATAAATTTGAATGTGCATAAAACTGTCTCATTAAAAGGTTATATAAGGCCTACATGAAAAACTATAAACACTTGTAAACCTGACAGTAAGTGATACACTACAACAGAGAGTGAGACCCCAAACCAAGTATTCCAGTCATGCAATACCATTTTCTATTCAAACTATGCCATATTGTTTTACGAGTTTTTGTACAGATAGTTGATTTTTTATGTACCAATCAGCTCCTGCTGCGTTTATGTGGAAATGAAGTGTATAATAAGTGTTTAGGATAGCAGCCTGACTGAAACCAGTTTGCATTGGGTGTATAGAATAATGTATCCAATGCCACTTCATGTAAGGGTATGGGCGTCTGTGACCGCCAAGATTTTGCCTATGGAAGCTAAAGTTGAAGAATTATGTCTTGTCACAGATGAGCAACAGATCATCTTTCAGTCTGTACAGTGCTGCTTGAGGTAAGTATATATATGTTATGCTAATTCCTTATATGGGCATTTACATAGATATACATTAAATATTATTAATGCCATCATGTAACTGCCAAAGGACACACACACACACACACACACACACACACACACACACACACATACATAAAATATAGACTGCACTGGTGGCAATTCAATATTTTCATCACACCAAACTGTGGCAAATCACATATTGTCTCTCTCATATATCTAATGTATCTTAATAATGATCATGTTTGTCCCAGTGTGAGTTCCTAAACATGAGCCTTCAGTGATAACCCACAACTCCACCCTAAGTCCAGGACACAGTGACCTATATTCACGTTCATTTTCTATAGGATTTTAGATTATGTTTTGGCAAGGAAAATGAATTTAACTTCAATTTTGACGACAGAGTGCACTGAAAGTTTTCTCAATTCCACATTCAGACTTGAATATATCCGTTTTAACTGATCTTGCCATGTGTGTCGTGTGTTGAAATTGCAGCCATTTTAATTTGCGCTCAAATTATTTTGGCTAAATCACCTACAGTACGATGGCATCACATAAAAACGAGGTGATGGTGACAGTTCCATATTAATTATGCTAAATAGTATTTTGCACATTTCAAAATAACAACACACATTAAAGTTCATATACAGGCCTAGTATTTAATCGGTTATGGAGTTTAGTAATGTTTCCTATTTTTTATATATATTTTTTTTTCATATAATGTTTTCCTATATTATATATATATTCTAATTATATATTATTATTATATTTTCATGTAAACTGTCGGACTATCCAACTATTTGTAACGACTCATATGTGTCTACTCCATTGTTGGTTCATAGTCACATTTATCTCAAACCTCCTGAGTGAAGGTTACCCTGCATTATTGATTCTATAGACTAAATATTTGCTTTTATTATCCGCTTTCCCTAAACAACAGCAGAGTCAGTGATCAATGACCTCCACAAACTGTGGAACAATTATGGCCATGAGAACAAGAAGTACTCACCTGTGCTCTGAGGGGCATGGGCCCTGCTGCCAGACAAATTGTTGTGGGCTGCTTGAAGACCGTCGCGGGTGAAGAGTCCAGCACTAACAAAGGCCAAATGCAGAATGCAAAACCACGAGACTGCCAGCTTCATCCTGACTGCAATCAGCTACCACTCCTTAGATGCCACACTAGAGCCCACAGAGACAGAACTGCGTTGCCAGTTGCTGCCGGTAAATCCAACTTGTTATTTTGACGTCTTGTTCTTTGTCTGGGCTTCACACTCCTCTCTGACTTACAACTTGTTTAAGAGGCAGGCTTTACACGCGCACAGTACACGCCCCTCTTTGTCTTGACGCCAATCAAGTGTCAACAACAGTGACCTTCGTGGTTTTAGTTTAGATTTTACATTTATTATGTAAAATCAAAATAATTACATTATTGACACGACAGTTTACATTTTTAAAATGTATTGTCAACATTTTGTCTCTCATTCAGTGGCTGTGGCTTTTAAACAAATAATAATGAATTAGTTACATAAGTGTACCTTTTAACAAGCAGACTCATTGGTGATCTTATAGAAATGGAAGATTATCAGCCTTATCCCAAGTTTCAGGAATAATATTATAGTGACACCATGCAAATAAAATCAGTGTCACAAAAAGGTGTTCCTGTGTGTATAGCTTGAATATTATTTAATTTATAATTTAATTTATATAATAATAATAATAAGTCTGGATCTGGACCCAAAAACAGGGTTTGATATAGTAACTTTGTTTTATCAAATGTTTCTGTATTCAGGTTGCCCAGCTGCCTATGTATTCTGCATCGTTCCCCAAAGAAAAGAGCAGATTTTTCTTGTGCTTGCGCATGTGAACGTGTAATAATGTCCACTTTCCATGCTGATAAAGGAAATCAGATATTGAGGCAGCAGCATGACTTAGACGTTGCTTTACGTTTCCCTCTTATGTAACTGTAATTGATGGTGGGAGGGATTCTTTGCCAATTTAGTTTATCAAAACGTGCTTCAGAGCTTTCTCACTCCCTGTTGATACAAGGAGAGAAAATGAGCTCCAAAGCAACTCATAGTTGGTTTGATTCATTCATTAATTTATATTTTAAATGAATACTTTCAAATATGATGTTAAGAGTAAGGGCTGCTAACTTAAAACATATTTTACTGACCGTCTGGGAACAGATGACACTGATAGATGGTGTGTTATAACCGATATGGAGGCTCTTGGTCTCATGTTTCTTACAACCACACTGAAATCTTTGACTTGTTAATTTGATGCAGCTCAACATGTCTGATGTTACAGTTTCACCAGCCTTTTGACCAACCTTTATGCTCTGTTGCCACATGTGTATCATCACCTCGATAACTTCAGGAATTTCAGTAAACTGTTATTTTAATTCCAGCTGTATTCAGGTTGCCCTGCTGCCTGTATGTGCTGTTCTGTCTATTAAATCAAAGAATATTTGGAATTCCTGGTGACGTACCCTAACCCTACTCATAGCCATACCCTTAACCCTAACATTAACCACTGACCCAAAAATAAACTTTTTTGATTAAACTGTGGGACCTGGCTTTTGCCCCTAATTGGACAAGCTGCCCTCCATCAACTGTCAGACAGACCCCTGATTCTGACGTCAAATACACACATACTCTTGCATACATGCAGTTCTGTCCAATCGTGTTCACTTGAATGTTCATGTTTAATATCATTAAATACATTTACTTTGTTATTCTGGGACTCCAATTGTCCTTCATATCCTCTGTACTTTTTTACTAATGTGTTTTAACCTGCAGAAACTCTGGAAGTAACTGATCTGTCTATAGCAGCGCTGCAACACTGGCTCTATAGCAACAATGTTGACGAGACTTGGTTCACAAGGTTCATTCTTGTTGTCGATTTTCACTTTGACCTTTTCTGGCGGAATACAAACAGAACAAAAATTATTAACTGTCCAATAATGACTGCTGGTTAATAAATTCCCAATTACTTGACATCTCTTGCAAATTACAACACTTCCTCACTAATGACATTGCTCACAAAAACAAAAAGGAACTTCAATCCCCTTGGGGAAACCGAGGAAAACCATTTAGCGTAGATTGATTTCAATCCATCATTATTTAGGGTTATAGACCCTGCAAGTTTCTGTTGCACAACTCTGTCAGTATATTCCCCAGGGCTCAATGAAACACACTGAAGAACACACAAGAAACACACAAGAAAAACAAAGAGAATGGAAAAAACAATGAGGAAAAAGGCTGCTTTATTGATTCTTGCTCTGTCTTCTTGTTTTGTTAAATCATATTTATCACTTTAGACTTGATTATGTTCTGTTAATCAGTAAAATCATATAATCATATATATATAGTATACAATACTGGTGTATATACTAATGGTATACACCATATACTAGTAGTTTAGTTTGATCCAAATCTTCTTCAGAAAAAATGCCTTACAAATGCTTCCCAAAACACAATGAACAATAATCCAAAAGGGGCATTTTAACAAATAAAATGAAGAAGAACAAATTCAGTAAAAGAAACACAATAAAACAATAAAAGAAACTCTAGAAGAAAACAGTCTAGAGGAAAGTTCACCTTTTAACTTGTCACATTAATCATCAACAGACAGCTAATAAAAACTCCATAATTACTTAAAGGTCTATAGGGTCGTTAAGGTCACTTTGTCAGTCTTGCGCTGTGGTCAGTGAAATTAACTTGTTTGGCACTCTGGTGAAGATTTATGAGGCCAGAAGGTGATTGGAGAGGTGAGGTAAGGAGATTAGAAGGTGGTGTCTTTGTTGTTCCCTTTCCAAAAACACAACATTTGACATAAAAACTGCTGCTTTTGGAATATTTAAACCTATGAAACAGATGAAAAACAACAATCAGCAAGTCAGTTCACTCATTCTCATACCGTGGTGGAACAAAGTACATTTACTCAGGCAGCTGCTGTACTGTAGTAGTAGTAGTGGTGTAGTAGAAATTCAAGGTACTTGTACTACTTCAGTTTTATGCTTCTTTATACTTCAACTCTACCACATCTCAAAGGCAAATATTGTGCTTTTTACTCCACTACAGCTTTAGTTACTAGTTACCAATTTATACATTTTTTTCATACCCTTCTTCTCCAGTGAAAACCATGTATCTCCAAATGTGATTTTCAATGTGTGATAAACTGAAGAAAAAAAATTCTCCCTGTAAAAACCTGTAAAGCCAAGTGTATCATATTTGATACATGAGGTTTTTTTTAGACCTCTATATCATCAGTGTGATATTTCTTTTCCTGAAAAACCTAATGTATACTATCAGATACATGCAGTACCTAGATAATCCACTAGGGATCAGTAATTTATGCACCAGAGGGCCTTCACTTGAGACATCCAAAATGGCTGCTGACAATCAGTGACCCATATGTAATTTTTCAAGAATATTTTTGTGAATTTTGAAAAAGTTAAGGTAAGAAAAACGTTCAAATTGTTAGTGAAACTTCAATAGGAATATTTAATGGATTGATGTAATGTAAAATTAATTAATATTTCATAACTTAATTTAAAGTAAACCTGTGTTGAAAATGTGTATATCAAATTCGATACAGCAGGTATTAAAGGTAACTTATTTGAAAATCTGTCAATCGTCATTTTATTGCATTTCATACATTATGCATTCAATAAAGCAACATACAGTATTTTTCTCATTTAGGTAAACTAATTAAAGGTTTAACTGACATAATTAGGTATATTTAGGGTAAAATTGAGATATCTCTTTTTGAACAATTCAAAGACATACATAATTGGAAAAGAACATTTTAAAGGAAACTCAAAGTTTAATGAATGAAAACTGTTTTATAGGTTTTTGTTTGTTTAAGATAAAAAAAAATACCAGATGTAGCAAAAATGATAAGCTGGTTCCACTGGTGGATTTGTCATTGCTGCGTGAAAACTTCATTTCAGCAGATGTATGATGTTGCGTTATATGGAAAATGTTATTTTGTATGTTTGAGGAAAATTTTAAAAGGAAACTCAGAAGTTTTAAAAGGTTAAATATGTTAGGTTTTATATGTTTTTGTTTGTTCAAGAAAAACAAACTGTGAGCAACAAATTGCACGAAAGACCTGATGTATCAAATATGATACAAATTAGAATTCATATATGCAAATTGATATTGATTTTTTTTAATTATTATTTGTCAGCAGGTTCAATAAACACTCCAGTTTTTAAAAAATTTAATTTTCTGGCAATCAATTTCATGATTCAGGCTTTACAGGGTAAATTTAAAAACTCTCTTGGATAAGCTGGAAAATTATTGCCACAAAGCTAAAAAAGGGCTTTTTTGAGCTCATGAAAAGTTGACATTTTAGAGATACATGGACAGGACAGCCACGCTACAAACATATGATGATCATATAGAACTTGATGCATTGTTGTAGATCAAACTATTAGCTCAACCATTAACATTTACAGCAGCAAAATGCAACATAGGCTTTTAACAGTGTGATGTTATACTTTTACTTAAGTGAGGGTTCTGAATACTTCTTCCACTACTGTCCTCTTGTGCTCTGTTAACAGATCCTTAGTAACACCCAACAAAATGTATAAAATTAGACAAATGACCATTGCACAGTGCATACCTGTCAAGTTAACATGCTAGAAATCTATGGTCAGTGATTGAAATCAGTGAGGCACACCCACTGCCCACACACACACACCAAGACAGTGTTTAACTGCAACGCAGATGTAGTGAGCCACACACTGTGACGTGTGGTCTCCGCCTGCTCTTCGTGGGTTCGTTGTTATCATTGTCATCATTGTCACTGCTCTCGGAAATCGTGCATTCCGCTCGGTTAAAACGATGATGTCGGCGTTCACGACGTCGTAGTGCTGCCACCTTAAGTTAGTGTGAGCCGTGAGAAAAGGCATGTGTGGCATGACAGCATTAGATTTGTACCAATTGTGTGAGGCCCAAATATTCAGAGTTGACAGCTTTGCCCTTCTATGTACTGACGCTCCCCTTCACAAACACACATTGGAGAGCAGGGCCGGACCGTGGTTACATGAGGCCCCCTGGGCACACATCTTTTGGAGGCCCCCCCCCTCCCCAAGCAGTGTCTGTGGCAGTCATGGGCGTGGTATTGGAAGATAAATTTAATTTGTTAAGATAAATTATCTATTTAACTAAGTTAACTGTTTATCTACTGCAGATTTGATTTATTTAAATTTTATTTTGACAGTCTGTATGTATAACGGTCTGTCCCACCTAACCCAGTGGGCTGGGTGGCATACTGGC